GTAAAATATTATTATACAGAAACTCGAAAGTTTTCAATTTTTCTTTCAGTGTACTTTATATTGCTTACAATGTATCGTAAAATACACACAGTGCGTGGCAGGGTATCGTAAATACCACTTACGGACAAAAAAATCTAAAAGAAATGTGTAAAAAGTCGAAAAACTCAAAAATGTGACGAAAATCACTAAAGCCGATGGTAGGGTGCACAGACCGTTAGTTGTGCTCTTCCAATCGTTGAGAATAAAGGAAGAAACGAAACAGCTTTCTCGAAAGAGTTTGCAAAAATAAATAGTAATATTTGTATTAAACGTTATTTAATAAAATATTACTATGCACGTATATGTATGTATATACCGAATGTAGGGTGTATTGTATCGGAGACGCAAGTAAAATTTTATTATTGGTTGATATTCGAAGAAATCAACACAAAATTTCATTGCAAATGGCACTTTCAATTTTTCAATAAATATATTATGATAAATGGTATGTGAGTGTCACTATTGTTATTTACACGAATATGTAAATAAAGAGGAAACAACAATCAGCAGTGATGACAACAAATATTCTTTTCTGTTGTTGTTGTTATGTTTAACTACTTACATGAAGATGTAAAACACAATAAGCGCAACGAGAAAAGAAATCACAAATATAAAAGAAATATGCCAAAAATGTAAATAGGCAATGAGAAAATATCCAATTCTGTGATTGTGGTTGTGAGTGTGTGTTTTGTTGGAAACAAATCGAAATGTGACACTAGTTATGTTTTGTTGTTGGATATAAATTCCGACGGCAATCTCGTAGGAGACGGACGGACATACAAACTTGTTGAAAAACGACCGAAGGCTTTGGTTTGTTTTGCAAGCACAACAATAACAAATTTCGGTATGCCACTTTAGAAGTAATTCACAGTGTACATACCTTTGTTGTGGAGTTTAATTAGGATGCAATGCAATTAATTAGATGGATGGGATCGATGATCCCTTTGTTGTTGTTGACGACGTAGTCGTTGTATTCCTCGCCAAGGCAAATAGGTGGATCGTATAATCCGATGATTACTGCGGTGCAGGCGTTTGTTTGTTTTTCCTCTTGAAGGAACGAGACAGATCATAAAATCCGGATCGATCGGACCAATGTTTGCGTAGCAAAATGAAAATAAGGGAAATGGGAGAAAAATAAAAACACAATCAATTAATATTTTTTCCCACTGAGCAGTGGACTGTATATTTTTTATAGGATGGCTGTTCGTAGAACAATATTACCTTCGTACAAAGGGTTTTTAGCAGTAGGACGTAATCCTATGCTTGTTAGTACTCGTAGAGTCGGTAGAATACTGTAAAGGCGGCAATTACAAAAACGTCACTCCTTAGGAAATGTCATTACCTTTGACATTATGTACGAAGTACAAAGTCGTATAAAGAGGTAGTAGACATTACCTAAGGAGGAGAAAAATCACCCGTGTTACAAACATGTAATATTAACGCAATTTAATGAAAACTAAGTTTGAAATTAAACAAATATAAAAGAAATCAATTCACAAATTCTTATATTTGGAAGTTTTGAATTGATCTTTTTCCTTTAGATAGGCAAAATTTTTTCAAAAATGCCACCGCTATCTTAAACGTCAAATAGCTGATTTAAAAAACCTACTTAATTTAGACAAGTTGGTCAAAAAGCACAAATAAAAGCAAGTAGGTTTTGGATAATCTTTTAATACTTTTCTCAAGTTTTGGTGAAATTGTCAAAAATGATATTTTTATACCCTCCACATTGGAAAGGACGGTATATTAAGTTTGTCATTCCGTGTGTAACATCCTTAAATATTCGTCGTAGACCCCATAAAATATATATCAGCGTAAAATTCTAAGTCGATTTAACGATGTCCGTCTGTCTGTCTGTCTGTTGAAATCACGATACAGCCCACATTATTTTACGTAGCAGAGCAATTTGTATTGTGTCTAGGATAGTTAGTATTGAAAATGAGATATATCTGAATTGAAGTAGATTAATAACATTTTACTCAAATGTATATTATGTCTACAGGACTTTTGGTATTGAAAATAGGTCATGTAGGTCCACGTTTTGGTATAGCCCCCATATAACGGTACCATCCGATATTCGGTGTTTTGATGATTTTAGCGACATTATTCACCGGAATTGTTTCAAATTTGATATTTGAAGTTCGTAATAGGAACTACCACCTAAGACAGAAAATTGTCTATGCAGGTCCAGGTCTTCGTATAGGCCCCATATATCAGTACCCCCTATATTCGGTATTTTGATAATTTTAGCGACATTATTCACCGGAATTGATTTAAATTTGGTATTTAAAGTTCGTAATAAATTGTACAGTTTATGACAGAAAATTGTCTGTGCAGGTCCACGTCTTCGTGTAGCCCCCATATAACGGTACGTCCCTTCTCCGGAATGGTTTCAAATTTGGTATTTGAAGTTCGAAATGGATACTACAGCTTAAGACAGAAAACTATATGTGCAGGTCCCCGTCTTCGTATAGCGCACATATAACGGTACCTCCCTATATTCGGTATTTTGATGATTTTAGCGACATTATTCACCGGAATTGTTTGAAGTTTAATATTTGAAGTTCGTAATAGGAATTACAGTCTGTGACAGAAAATTGTCTATGCAGGTCCAGGTCTTCGTATAGGCCCCATATATCAGTACCCCCTATATTCGGTATTTTGACGAGTTTAGGTACAAAAACCCCCGAAACTGTTTGAGATGTTTTATTTGAAGTTCGAAATGGATGCTACAGCCTGTGACAGAAAATTGTCTATGCTGGAAGATTAAGATGAAGATTCATGTCCGTGAGACAAACAATCAAGACAACAGAAGTGTTTCTTAACTGTGCGGATTCTTTCAGGGACTGAAAGTCTTAGGAATTTATGACAAACTCTTAGATGATGCCTTTGTCGTGAACAAAGAGCACATGATTTAGGCGAGGATGTACGAGGTAACTTAAAGAAATGAGGGACACTTTGAGCCGTGACGGAATTTGATGTATTCGTTGCACCATTCGTAGAAAGGGAACGTTTATCATTGTTTAGAAGTTCGACGTAATCGATTCCCCTAATGTCACGTAAACAGGTCAGAGTTTGGATCCTTTCTGTAAGAAAGTGATCCAAATCCTTCCACGTAGACAAAGTACATTTGTTCTTTATTCTTTGTTCTCAAAGCACCACGCAGTTCTTAGGTAACCTCTGAAGACACAGGAAAACTAGAATAGGATCCCAGTCTTTTGTCGACACATCATAATTAGACATGGACGGAATACACCCGTTTATGCCTCTCTGTAATTTCTTTAGCCCTGCACTAGTTTCTTTGTATAAAACTGGAAGGTCAAAGAGGAGCTTAAGTTGATGGTTCACCAAAATTCGAGGATCGTCATATGTAGAGAATAATGCACTCCATGCTAGATTAAAGTGTTTGTGTGTAAGCGAAAACTTAGACACAATTTCATGGGCATCACCACTAGTTTTGTTATTTAAATGGCATAAACGCTCGATATCGCTTATACCGCTATTATTTATATATATGACAGAAAATAAGTCCCTGAACGTAGGCCAGGAAAGAAAATCGCCATTGAATACTTCGATGTCACAGAATGGCAAATTTAACCTGTGACTGGAATTTTCATTTCCACAGGATGTGAAAGATGAATTTTGGGAAGTTTCGGATCGATGCGGAGCATTTGATACGGTCGCTGTATCCTCGGAACGAGGTATTGAAGCGTTACCTACATGAGATTTTGGTGTAATTACAGTAGGTGACTCAGGCGGAGCCCGTAGCGCGCCAAACTTTCTATTAATGGACGCTAAAACATTTAAAAAACATTTGTAGGCGACATCGTATTTGATGTCGGCGGCTGAAATGTCGTCCTCATTAGAATTTTTATCTTCATGTAGGTAATCGAGGCACTTTTCAAATACGAATTTAACTTTATCCCATAGTGTTATGACCTCAGCGCCTTGTAATTCTAGGATGCAAACATCGAGCTCTTCGTCCCGTTGGGAACTGAAATTGGCATCAAATTTTACCAAAGCATTAGTAGCTCGGATGAATAAATCCAAAGGAGTGTGTTAAAACATACATAAATATTTTTTATTGTTCTATAAACATACTTTAGATTTAATTACCAAAAACAAACAATAAATACAAAATCAAACACACCTACATATTTATAAGTTTTAAAACTGCTTATACAGCATTATTATATCACATATTTGGACTATTTTATTGTTACAGTCAATTTTCTTTATTTTAGTTCATTGGCCATTGGTTCATTCACTTTTGCAATGTTTTTAAGTTTCTTTAACACATTTATTTATTTTGCTTACATAGCATTTAATGTCTACTAGTATCCGACCTACATTACAATTAATTTATATCAGCATTTATCAATAGCATTTTTTAATTAATTATGTTAAGAAATTTTGTATATAAAGACAGCCAGAAATAAAGAAAATTCAGTCGTCTTTTGTAGTGACTAAACTAAGAGTTTTAATTACTATCTAGGCGGCTTCCTTCAAGTTCATGTGCTTGGAAGGAAATTAATTTGGATACTAAGTGTCAGTTCAAATTTATGTGTTTGGATTGAATCGCACTAGATCCTACTATCAAAACATTTTTTGGTGACCCCGATCAAAACATTTTTTTTTTTTTGGAGGCCCCGGCGAGATCGTTTACACACATCCTTTTGCCCCACAAGCGGTAAAGGATTTGAATCGTAAGACGTGATCGTTTACACACATCCTTTTGCCCCACAAGTGGTAAAGGATTTGAATCGTAAGACGTGATCCTGACGATAACTAGACCGAAACATTTTTTGGTGACGTTATCCACAAGGTGTGAGGACGTAACGCACGCGTACCAATTTCAAAAACCCCCTTTTGGAGCTCTGGAGGAAAACCAGGAGGAAATTGCCGGTAACTAATCATCATACAACAACTGCTGCTACTCGCTGATAAATCAACAAACAATAATGGCAAACGTTCAAGAGTTTATTTCTCAGCAAGAAGAAAGAGGCAGCAATTTCGAAAAATTCGTCTCTACTATAAAGAAGGCACCTCTTGAAAGGAGAACGGAAGAGTTCTACAAGAGCAAACTTGATGAACTAAGGCTGTTATGGCAGAATTTTGAGAAGGCAGAAAACAGAATTCGCGATGATCCATCATTGTCAGAGGATGATCCGTATATTGCTCGGAATCTATATAGAACGATTGGAGAGAAGTTCAGCTCAACAATGGAATACATAGACGCGGAAATAAAGAAACTGAGGTCAGCCAAAAGTAAGCCAGTTCCCACCTTGAGAGAGAAATCGACTGAAGTTGTCGCAGGAGACAAAATACCTTCCCGTGTTGATGGGCTTGTCAGAATGATAAATGCTCGAATGAGTGCCCTTAGTCGTCACTTGCAAGGCTTGGGCACAATCGAAGCGGAACAGCCGAAGCAATTTTATAGCATCAAAGAAGATACTATAAAAAAGCTATGGAATCAAATAACGGAGTTCTACGATGAAATATTGCAGCAGATTGAAGATCCATCGAAAATTGGATTAAGTCAAGAAAACTACGATATGCTGGAAGATTCGGTACAAGACAACTTAATAAAACTTGCAGTCTTGAAAGACAAATACAGCGAAACCGTGACCATTGCACCTCAATTAGGGAGTGACATTATAGCACACAGTTCACTCCCACTACCAAAGGTAACAATTCCTCAATTCAATGGGGATTGTTTGAAGTGGCGTCAGTTCTATGAACTTTTCTTGGAGATGGTAGACAAACAGTCTCTTCCAAGTGTTCAAAAAATGTGGTATCTCAAAACCAATTTGTCTGGCGAGGCTGGCAAACTAATCAGTCATCTATCCTTGACAGAGGATAATTACAAAACGGCATGGATGTTGCTGCAAGAACGTTATAACAATAAGCGGGTTCTTGTTTCCACTCTAGTAGAACGGATTTTGAGTCAACCAAATGGAACTTCATCAACGGCCTCCATCAAGGCTCTGCATGACACTACAAAGGAATGCATGCTAGCCCTCAACAATCTTCAAATCGACACAACGTCTTGGGATGCTCTGTTGATTCAATTGATCACAAAGAAATTGGATCACGCTCTGTACATACGATTCATGCAATCACTGGCGAATCCGAAGGAAGTTCCTACTATGAAAGAGCTGTTTTCATTTTTGGAACTTCAATTCGAATCAATGGAATCGATTGGAAAAGCGGCATCTACGCACAAGGGTTTAACCAAAACTGTTTCGTCCGTAACATCAGTGGAGGATCACAGGAGTTGTAAACTATGCAAGAACGACTCCCATCCAATTTATCATTGTAAGAAGTTCTTGGCAATGACAGAAGGTGAGCGATTGAAATGGATACAGCAACATAAATTGTGTGTAAATTGTTTCAAATCGGACCATGCAGCAAAAACTTGTTTTTCTGGCAACTGCAAAATATGTAGTAATAAGCACAATACATTGCTACATTTGCCAAAAAAATCTCAACCGTCGCCGAAGGCCTCAAATCAATCACCACCAACAAAAATCGATATCGCACCAGTCAACGTTACTGCAGTTTCTTCGGCATCAGCAGAAGATCAGAAAAATGTTATTCTAGCAACGGCTAGAGTCATCATCAAAGCGACTAACGGTATGTCAGGCGAATTTAGAGCGGTGTTAGACTCGGGTTCGCAAGTGAACATTGTGACGGAAAGACTCATACAAAAATTGTCACTTAGAACAGCAGATGCCTCTTTATCTATTTCCGGAGTCGGAAGGATTCAGAAGAAGGCTTATCATCGGGTAAACATACAAATGTTATCAAGCAATTCTGAATTTTCCACAAATTTGGAAGCATTTGTTTTGCCCACAATTATACCTCCGCAACCAAATCATGATTTGGATATACAAAACTGGCAAATTCCCAAGAATATTAGATTAGCAGACCCTAATTTTAACGTTCAAGGAAAAATTGACATTTTACTCGGAGCTGAGTTTTACTTCAGTTTAATGCAACCAGGCACAATAAAACTAAATGGTCATCAACCCATACTCCAAAATACGGCGCTTGGCTGGATTGTAGGTGGTTTAGTTCAACAATCGTCAGCGGACGACACATCAGCAGCGCTAACATGCGCAATTTTTAGTGAAACATCACTGGAACAAGCTATCGAAAAATTATGGAAACTTGAGGAAGTGGAATCAACTGAAAAGGTCATGTCTCCATTAGAAACCCTTTGCGAATCTCACTTCAATCAACATGTTAAGACGGATCAGAATGGTCGTTTCATCGTCAGCTTTCCGTTTCAAGAATCTCCAACAGCATTGGGGAAATCACATGCAATGGCTTATAACCGATTTATGAGCCTTGAACGCCGACTTCTACGGAAGGAAGATATCCGAAGTCAGTACATTAAATTTATGCGAGAATATGAACAATTAGGACACATGCAAAAGATTGACGTGTGTACCGTATCAAATCCTAAATATTTTATTCCGCATCATTGTGTTCTCAAGCCCGATAGTACAACAACAAAACTTAGGGTTGTATTTGACGCATCAGCGAAAACTTCATCAGGTCAATCGTTAAATGATCTAATGTATACAGGACCAATCGTACAAAGTGAATTGTTTTCTATTTTGCTGAGGTTTCGATTGCCAAAATTCGTCTTCACAACCGATATTGAAAAGATGTACAGGCAAATTTTAATGCATCCCGATGATCAAAGGTATCAGCTAATTATCTGGAGAGAGGATCCATCCCATCCAGTCAGTTATTACAAACTTAATACGGTCACATATGGGACACGTTCAGCACCGTATCTGGCTACAAAATGCTTACAAAAGATTGCAAACGAGAACATGGAGCGTTATCCATTAGGCTCACAAATGCTGAAAGATAATTTTTATATGGATGACGGTCTCGGCGGTGCAGATAGCCTAAGTACAGCTATTGAAATACAAAAGGAGTTAATAACAATCTTGAAACAACACGGCTTCATTCTAAGGAAATGGTCATCCAATACACCAAGATTGCTGAAGGACATACCACATAGCGATCGAGAAGTGAACCTGGATCTCAACGAATCACAAACAATAAAGACGTTGGGATTATATTGGATGCCGCAAGCAGATCAATTTTGTGTAAAAACGAACATTGATCATAATGAAATCATATCAAAACGAGTAGTTACGTCTGAACTAGCAAAATTATTTGATCCGTTTGGCCTACTTGCACCGATTGTGGTGAAGGCAAAAATATTTATTCAGCAGCTGTGGCAACATACATTAGATTGGGACGAAGCATTACCCGAAAAACTTTGTGCCACTTGGAAAACATTTCGAAGGGAATTGGAAGGTCTCAACAACTTTAAGATACCGCGACATGTATTCTGTGGAGAGATCCCGACGAAAACCCAGTTGCATGTGTTTGCCGATGCATCGGAAAGAGCTTTTGGCGCGGCTATTTATATTCGTTTTATTGGGAAAGATGGACGAGTCGTCGTACGTCTGATCTGTGCTAAATCCAGGGTAGCTCCTTTGAAAAAACAAACTCTACCACGATTAGAGCTATGTGCCGCAGTGGTAGCAGCTCAACTGGCTACCAGGGTGAAAAATGACCTAAGGCTTCAGAATAATCTGATGTTTTTATGGACTGATTCTGAAATAGTACTCGCCTGGATAAAATCAAGGTCCAACGTATATAAGACTTTTGTGGCTAATAGGGTATCCACCATACAAAACTTAACATTGCCAGAACAATGGAACCACGTTAAGTCAAAAGAAAATCCTGCCGACATTTTATCCCGAGGACTCTCGCCAGCTGATCTTTCTAAATGCCGATTATGGTTTCATGGTCCAGTTTTTCTTCATGGAAAGGAAGAACTATGGCCGACCAAATTCTCTCCGCAGGAGGATATAACAAATAGCATGGAGTTAAAGACTGCAGCTACGACGTCAATAGTAACTTCTGACATGCATCTAATACATATGATCGAGCACAAAAATTCATTCAGGAAGTTACAAAGAATTTTGGCATACGTGCTTAGATTCACCAGCAATGCACGTATGCAAAAGGCACACCGGCCTCAACATATAGCAGTGTCTTCCAAGGAATTAGACGACTCCCTTCGTCGAATAATTCAAGCCGTACAATCATCTGAATTTGCAGCTGATATCAACGCGTTGAAGGCTGAAAAGCAGATTAATAAGCATAGCTCGCTATGCAGTTTATCACCGTTTTTGGATGATGAAGGCATTCTTCGGGTTGGTGGAAGGTTGGAGCATGCTATGCTACAAATGGATGCGAAACACCAAATGATATTGCCTTATAATGATCCTTTGGTGAAATTGCTATTTAAGACAGTTCATGAAGAAAATAAACATTGTGGAGCTCAAGCCTTGTTAAACGCAATAAGACAGCGATTCTGGCCAATAAAAGGCAAGATAACAGCAAGGTCTACCGTTCAAAGATGCATAAAATGTAATAGAGCGCGACCACAACTGTATCAACAAATAATGGGAAATTTACCAGCAACAAGGGTAGTTCCTGCTCGACCATTTATCAACTCTGGGGTCGACTACTGTGGGCCATTTTGGATCCATTACAAAGTCAGGGGCAAGCGACCAACAAAGGCTTATGTCGCTGTATTCTGCTGCTTTGCAACAAAGGCTGTTCATTTGGAGCTCGTATCGGACCTATCAACCGAATCATTCATTGGCGCTCTTAAACGATTTATAGCTCGCAGAGGTCACTGCCAAAATATATATTGCGATAACGCTACAAACTTTGTTGGAGCCAAAAATAGTTTAGAGGAATTATCTGAAACCTTATATTCGGACAAGGCGCAAGAGCTACTTTTATCAGCTGCAAGTTCCAAGGGCATACAGTTCCATTTCATTCCACCAAGAGCTCCGCATTTCGGAGGCTTATGGGAAGCTGCAGTAAAGTCCGCAAAACGTCTCTTGGTCCGTAGTGTTTCAACGGAAACACTTACTCATGAAGAATTAGAGACAATAATAGTAGAAATCGAAGCTATTTTAAATTCGCGTCCGCTCACACCTCTTTCAAACGATCCAGATTGCCTTGATGCATTGACGCCGGGACATTTTCTAATCGGCGAAGCTCTAACTTCGCAGGTAGATAGTAGAGCAGAAACTTCGAAAACATCCAGGATAACACACTGGAAGTTAATTTCGCATATTAAGCACCAATTCTGGAAAAGGTGGTCGGAAGAGTACCTACAAGAACTCCAGCAACGTAACAAATGGAGGCAAAAGATGCCCAATCTTAGAAAAGGAGATATGGTCATTATAAAGGAAGACAATCTACCTCCAATGAAGTGGCCATTAGGGAGAGTTCTTAACGTATTTTTCGGTGATGACGGAGCTGTAAGAGTTGCTGAAATAAAAACCTCAACCGGGGTATTCAAGCGGGCCATCCATCGACTAGCACCACTGTTTCCAGAAGATCATGATAATGCTATAATTGACAAAGATACAACTCAAGAAAGCACAATTTCCCACAAGAAAAAATCGGTAACAGATGAACATGGAAGAGATGTCATTCCGGCAAAAAGAGTGAGAATTGCAAACAGTCCTATAATACTATCAGTATTATTAACATTGTTCCTAATACCTATGGTCCTGTGCAACAATTTGAAAGTTACACAATTTCACAATGATCCAGGATTGTATTTTGAAGGGTTAGGAACAATGAAATTGAATACAGCAGAATGGAAGATGTTAGTATATTATGACTTAAAGCCCTTCGTTTCGGAAATAGAGTCATTGGCATCCGGCTTACAAACGTTGCAGCAAATGTGCCATGTAATGCATCAGCATGAGATGTGCAACATTTTTGTAAACAACCTGAAGCAGACGAAAAATGAATTACTACAAGACAAAGAATTATTCATCAACAAACGTGTAAAAAGATCTCCATTCAACATAATTGGGAATATTGCGCACTCACTTTTTGGCGTTCTCGATACGGACTATGCGGAAGAAATGTCAAAGACTATCAACCAAGCAAAAGGCGAACAGGACCACATAATCAGTCTATTGAAAAATCAGACTTCAATAATTGATTCAACTATTAATGTTATAAAAAGAGATGAGATTAACACTCATCAAAAAATACGGGAGATTTTGAAAATGATTGACAAACACAATAACGATATAGCTGAAGAATCCGCCCAATTCAACAATTCTCAACTGTTTGGACTTCTATCAACGCATTTGATGTTATCCGCAATAAAGCTACAGAGAACACAGGCCGAAATCATTAATGTACTTACTGATACTCATCATGGAAAAATAAGTCCCCTGTTATTGGCTCCTCAACAATTGAAAGAAGAAATTAGTGTCATTAAGGCTAATCTTCCAATTTCACATGCGTTGCCAACATCAGGTGACAATTTGATTCAACTTTATAAGCTTATGAGTGTCAAAGGGGCAGTTACAAAATATGAAATAATTTTTGAAGTGAAGATACCCTTAGTTAACCAACAGTTTTTTGAGTTGTTCAAAATAGTTGCAGTTCCAACAATACAAAATGACACCTTAATCGCCATTCAACCAGAAACGGAATACATGTCTACCGATGCACATAGAGAAGAATATATTCATGTCCAATCAGAGGATATTTCAAGCTGTCTCAAACCAAACGATGATGAATATATTTGCAGAAATCAGCAGTCAAAGCTCAAGAAAAATGCACTTGTTAACCCGTGCGAGATCAATATCTTCAATAACCAATCAACTAGCAATTGCCGTCTTCACAAAATTACTGGAACAGCAGTTTGGAGTCAATTACATCATCAAAATAAATGGATCTTTGCTACTACAGCCGATATTGAATCTTCAATGGTATGCGGATCTGAAACCAACCTCATCATCATTAAAAATTCCGGAATAATGGAAATTGGTCCTACCTGCGTAATAAAAAACAAATTTGTTACGATACATGGACATTTTGCAGCTTCCAGTAGTTTACATACATCCTATGTAAGATTGAAAGGCATTCAATATATAAGTCGACAAGAGGAAATTGAAAAGGTTTCAACAAATACCAACACCACCTCTTACAAGATTCATCAAGAAGAATTGGATAATATACAAAAACAGTTGCATGAATCAACTCTAAAACACCTACCACAATTAATTCACTCATCAAATCCACATCATCATGCAGTTAGCTACGCATCTTTAGCTTGCTGCATTCTTATTTTACTTGGCCTGCTGAGTTGGAGGATCCACACAAAATTTAAGAAGCCATCTCAATTCATACCTACACCAGCTATAAGATCTCATCAATCAACAATAGATGTTACAATGGAGTCATTCCCACATGCATCCAACCCAGGCGCAATCATTGAACAATGTCAACGCGGCGGAGAATGTTAAAACATACATAAATATTTTTTATTGTTCTATAAACATACTTTAGATTTAATTACCAAAAACAAACAATAAATACAAAATCAAACACACCTACATATTTATAAGTTTTAAAACTGCTTATACAGCATTATTATATCACATATTTGGACTATTTTATTGTTACAGTTAATTTTCTTTATTTTAGTTCATTGGCCATTGGTTCATTCACTTTTGCAATGTTTTTAAGTTTCTTTAACACATTTATTTATTTTGCTTACATAGCATTTAATGTCTACTAGTATCCGACCTACATTACAATTAATTTATATCAGCATTTATCAATAGCATTTTTTAATTAATTATGTTAAGAAATTTTGTATATAAAGACAGCCAGAAATAAAGAAAATTCAGTCGTCTTTTGTAGTGACTAAACTAAGAGTTTTAATTACTATCTAGGCGGCTTCCTTCAAGTTCATGTGCTTGGAAGGAAATTAATTTGGATACTAAGTGTCAGTTCAAATTTATGTGTTTGGATTGAATCGCACTAGATCCTACTATCACAACAGAGTGAGTGGCATTTTGAATGCAAATCAGAAGCAAAACAAATGAATAATGTTTATTTAGGCACGTAATGTCTTGTTTGAAAAACAAATGCAGCCGAAGAATACAAAACTGCAGCGTAAATACAAGAAATTGTAATTTAATTTGCACGAAAATGCGTAAAATATCTTTAAAACGACACGTAATGTCAAGAAAATCAATATTTATTTAATGAAAATACGCTGATTGTATAATAGTCGTGGGCTATTCCCAATATTAATTGAGGTTTAACGTGATTAAACCACAAGAAGTAAAATATTATTATACAGAAACTCGAAAATTTTCAATTTTTCTTTCAGTGTACTTTATATTGCTTACAATGTATCGTAAACTACACACAGTGCGTGGCAGGGTATCGTAAATACCACTTACGGACAAAAAAATCTAAAAGAAATGTGTAAAAAGACGAAAAACTCAAAAATGTGACGAAAATCACTAAAGCCGATGGTAGGGTGCACAGACCGTTAGTTGTGCTCTTCCAATCGTTGAGAATAAAGGAAGAAACGAAACAGCTTTCTCGAAAGAGTTTGCAAAAATAAATAGTAATATTTGTATTAAACGTTATTTAATAAAATATTACTATGCACGTATATGTATGTATATACCGAATGTAGGGTGTATTGTATCGGAGACGCAAGTAAAATTTTATTATTGGTTGATATTCGAAGAAATCAACACAAAATTTCATTGCAAATGGCACTT